ACGAACAGCCTGTATTAGTCTTGCTGGAACAACTTGTAGCAAGTCTGTTACCGTCATCAACCTTGTATAACAGGATGATAACAACTTGTTCCAGACTTGTCACAACAACTGGGAACAAGCAGTGCGAACACATCCTGATATGGGCTTGACAACAACCTTGTTACAACTTGTAGTTTGCCGATCTGTAGCTGAACTTGCACGTTTTTACGTGCGTACAAAAAAACAGACTCAACTTGGACGGGTAGTATGTTAATAGCATCTACCATCCAGTTTTATGACAAGATCTGTGTGATGCAGACGGACAACATAGCGGATTAATTTATGACGTCAATGTAAATTACACAATAAATTTATATACATTTTACAAAATACTTTGAAAGTTTGAAGGACTATATATAACAATCACAAAACAGCTTGTAGTAAAAATTTATAACCCTTTCAATTGCTGAAGGCCATTTCAAATATTTTGAGTAGAACTATTTCAAAATTACACTACATTCCCCGTTGGGCGCATAAAGTGAGTACAATTGCAAACCAATATTAAATATATTAGCTTTTGATTAAAAACTCTATTCAGACTCAAGACTCAAGTGCAAGCGATTGCGGGTTCAATTAGCGTAAGTAATGATTTATCATTTTAATTTGAACCGAAATAAGACTTGAAAAATAGCCCAAAACGTAATTATAAATTTCCTATTATAATGCTATATATCTTCGTGTCTAAACGCACTTAGAAAATGGTTAATATTAGCTGCTTGTCCGGCTTTTTATTATGAAATAACCATAACGACAATATTAGGAAACAGGGGGAAACCGCTCCGAAATGAACAAGAGCCTGTGAATATAGTTTTGTTTTTAATATGTCGCATGCTGAATAGGGTCGAACGCGTTAACAGCGCCAAGGATGGACAGATCTGCTTTAATTCTAGCCATTTTGCAAGGCATTTGTTTCCTCATTTTACAAGGGAAGGCTCTCATTGTTTCAAGAGGAAAATTGGACGTTTTTACTAATCCAAACCAGACGGGATGCGAACGAAACGTACAATATTGTAAAGACAGAAGGGCGAGATGCTTCGATAAAGATTGTTGCAGGTGTAAATGCGATAGAGAGTACAGCACGTTTCATAGTCCGGGAGTAACTTATGAATTTAAAGACGGAAAGCCTTCGTACCGTTTTGAAGGGGGAGAGACTTGCGTCTGGAATCACTATGCCCATGAAGGTGTGTCAAAAATTTTTGTGTTGAAATTATTTCGTCTAACAAATATTCTGTACATGAAAAACCATTGTGAATCGATGTTTGAAAAGTCTTCGTACTTTGAAGTGTTATAATGAGCAGCATGTTATTGTATGTTAAGACAAACTTCACCGTGGACAAATCTTCTGAAATTTTAAATTTTTGAGACGATCCTATTTGTCGATTGCTTCAATATTCCTTAATTCATTGACGTTGTCTTTACAAGAAGATCGAATAAGCCAAAGGCAAATTATACATTGGTTCACTAGAGTGGCAAAACATGTATAAAAAATTATTTTTCAAACTTTACATTTTTGTTTAAATATGTTTTGTGATAAAATATCCTGAAAAAAATGTATAATAATACCTTTAGTTTTAATTTCTCAGAGCATGCATGCATGGTTATTAAATTATAGACATGTCATAGAAATATTACTTCCATGTATAGAATTATCACTTCCAAGAATTAGAATAATATATTGGACAATAATTAAACGAGACGAAAAGAACATTAAGAACAATATGTAGTATTCAATGGACCTTTCCCCTTATAACTAAAATTTCGATCTATGGACAAAAATTTCATCACAGCTTGAAAGAACATCACAAAATTAGTAATAATCCAAAGTTTTGGTGCAAAATCTTGTAAAATGCAGATAATATAGCCTTGCGAAGTTTGCCGTTTTTCAGTCATTTTGTATTACAAACGGGAAATTGACATCCGATTCGGGTGTTGGGGTGTTGCAATTTCCCGTTTGTAATGCAAAATGACTGAAAATTGCAAACTTCGCAAGGCTCTATTTTCCTCATTTTACAACATTTCGCAACGAAACTTTGGAATATTACTAATTTTGTGATACTCTTTCAAGCTGTGATGAAATATTCGTCTAGACTTGCCTAGATCAAAATTTTGGTTATAAGGGGAAAGGTCTATTGCATAAGAGGATATTACTCGCCAATGGGAATTGGCCTCCGGGAATAAATTATTGAACTATACCATTGGAGAATGTTTAGGATACTATATAACGTGATCACATTAAATACCTTAGCCGTTTTTTATAATACCTACTTTTCTTTGCCAGTATTTACTCCTATTAATTTGGCAGACATTTCCCCGCCATTTTCGTAGACTCGATGCGTTTGACGGCGGTGTTATTGGAAATGGCAACAATTTGCGTTGCAAATATGTTGTTAAAAATTGTTCCGTGTCACATTGCCTTTACAAAGCGGAATCCCAAGTTTTTATCAGCCGTTTTTATCAGAAAAAAAAGCGGAATCCAAAGTTTTTATCAGCCGTTGACGCCATTATGAATAAGGTCTATTCTCCCGACGAGTGGCTATACTACTATTGTCGTTCGGGACTCGGGTCATTATTTATGGCAGGGTGTAGCACCGAAGAGAAAAGGGTTGAGTAAACAAAATTTTGAGTGAGTAAAAGGTTGGGTAAATGAAAAACAAAACAACTCAAGGGTTGGGTAATAAAAAATTATTGTCATTTCCAAAGAATGACCCACTTAAATATTGAAGACTAACTAAAAGCAATGTCAACAGTCAATACAATATGTAAATCAATCAATCAATCAATCAATCAGAATCACTATAAAAAAAAAATTCCGATTTTTCAGCAGGCAAATGGTGTCTCCATGTGCAGACAACATGAAACTTTAGACTGCAGAACATTGCACAAGCAGTTATCAAACTCGTGTCACAAAAGTGGTAAAGGACATGTGTGACAACTGAATTTTGTCCGTTTGTAACGTTTTTGGCCAGGGGTGGGGATTTACTTTTTAATTGATGTTTGAGGTTCGGTATTTGAGTTTCTCATCGGTGCCATTCCCGCCACAAATAATGACACGCAGTCCCTTACAACTCAGATATAATGTTAACACATCTAAATGTGATGACATTTAAAACTGTTTTGCGTTTGTTCAATGTATAAAGTGCAAACCACTTTCAAATTACGAATTAGGTGACAGCACAAGTTTTCTTCAAAAGTATTTTCAAGAAAACTTTCGACTGGACGAGACACCGCCATACTGTTTTTACAGAAACTTTGATTCAAACAGAGTTAAGTCTATTAAGTCGTTCTTGTTTTTAGGATGTCGTTTTATTGAAGAGAGCCCGTCCACCTCGAGTAGACGTTTCATTCCACTAATAAATTTAAATAAGAATGGCACACTTTATTTAAAAGTATTTTTAAACGGCGTTCATCGATGCAACGAATACCAACTTTTTACCAAACGACCAAAACAACAATCCTGGGTTGGTATGAAAGAGGACACTGATCTATTTACCACAGGTTGGACAGAATCGACGGACATATTTTTGACATTACAGGTACAGTGTATTTTGACACTACAGGTACAGGATTTTGTTAACAATAGATAAATAATTGGGCTGGCCATGTTGTTGGTGCAAAGGGATGATCCTTATACTGGACACCCAAGAAGAATACTAAGATTTAGCTTAGGTTTCTTCCTTAAGTAATACTGGATCAAAAAGAGATGATCCTTACTGAACTTGCAGAGAGAAAAGTTTGGAACTGATAGAGCTATCCAGTATAAATCTCAAATCATTAAAGGCACAGTTCAGCCTTTTGAATGATGGTTTTTAAGGCGAATTTTAGCCCTTTTAATTGAAAAAACTAACTAGGAAAATTAATTAAGCACAATTCAAGATCGGCAAACTTGATGTTTTTAACATTTTAAAACATTTTTATTGTTAAAAACATTGAGTGTACTGATCTTGAATTATGTATAATTGATTTTCCTAGTTAGTTTTCAATTAAAAGGGCTGAAATGCGCTTTAAAAACCATCGTTCAAAAAGCTGAACTGTCTTTAATAATTCATGAGTAAATTAGCCAAACATATTGCTTTATTTTGCTCAGATGATAACACTGGATACCTGGTGAAGTATATTGATCCAGTTCTGGGACTGGATCAAATTAATTCATCTCCGTTTAAGAGATGATTTATTCGTACGAGATCTCATAGATGACACTGATAGAGCTATCCAGCGTAAATAGAGTTAGTTTAGTTCAGGTTTCTTCCTGTAGTAACACTGGATCAATAAGAGACGATCCTTACTGGACCTCTAGGGAGAACAGTTTAGAACTGATAAAGCTATCCACTACAAATAAAGTTAGTTTAGGTTTTCTCCTGTAGTAACACTGAATCAATAAGAGATGATCCTTACTGGACCTCTAGGGAGAACAGTTTAGAACTCTTAGAGCTATCCAGTATGAATGAAGTTCGTTTATATTATTTGCAGTGAATAGCACTGTTTAACCTACCTGCCCGTAATCTGTCTTTTACAGTGGCAGAAGCAAGACCCAAGGTATAGCGGACTAATGTTGAAACTGAATTTCACTTGTGATGCAGCTGTAAAGGAAACGAGAGAACCGTGTATTATTCTGAAGATCAAGGGAACCTTCAATACACAAACGAATATATCCATCCCACGTAAGTACACTTATTATTTGTTCTTATTTTGATTTTGTATAAATGTATGGTGCTTACTATGCTGCCGTGGTTTCTCTGTCTGAAGCAAGGTGGGGAGGTGGGGGTGGGGGACGATGGCATATAAAATTCTCAAACTCATTAATAATTTATGAGCAAAACAGAAAGATAGCACGCCTATGATTTGATAGAATTCTATACACACGTAAAACGCACAAGTTGTCACAGGTCTGGAAACAAGTTGTTACAAATCTGTTCACAAGCTGTGGACAAGTTGTCTTCGCACTGCTTGTTCCCAGTTGTTGGAACAAGTTTGGAACAAGCTGTTAACAACTTGGAACAAGCTTGATGGCATTATCAGACTTGTTACAAAATTGTTCCAACAACATTGATACAGTCATGATATAACAAGAATATTACAAGGTTGTCCTAACAAGTCTGATACAGTCATGATATAACAAGAATGTCACAAGGTTGTAACAATATTGTTATATCATGACTGTATCAAACTTGTTGGAACTTGGAACAACCTTGAAACAAATCTGATAATATCAATAAGGTTTTTAGAAGCTGCTAACAACTTGTAAAAACGTTGTTTTAACAGGTCTGATACAGTCATGATGTAACAAGAATGTCACAAGGTTGTAACAATATTGTTATATCATGACTGTATCGGACTTGTTGGAACAAACATGACTGTATCGGACCTTGCAACAAATCTGCTAATACCAATAAGCTTTTTACAAATTGTTAACAACTTGTAACACGCTTAATGGCATTATCAGACTTGCTACAAGGTTGTTCTAACAAGTATGATACAGTCATGATATAACAATATTGTTACAAGGTTTGTGACAATATTGTTATATCATGACTGCATCGGACTTGTTGGAACAACTGCAACAATCGCATTAAGTTACAAGTTGTTACAACTTGTTACAAGTTGTTAACAGCTTGTAAAACGCTTGTCGATATAGTCTGATAAACTTGTTGCAAGGTTGTTCCAACAAGTACGATACAGTCATGATATAACAATATTGTTACAACCTTGTGTTGTGAATCTTATAACATTCTTGTTATATCATGTTGGAACAACCTTGTGCATAGGCGTCAAAAGATCGATAAGTGGGGAATTCATATATTCGTGTTCACAGATCGTAAAAACAATCGATTTCAAAAGAAATTAATAATGCAGAACACGAAGATATGAATATGGTCCCCCCACTTATCGATCTTTTGACGCCTATGACCTTGTGGCAAGTCTGATAATGCCACCAAGCTTGTTACAAGTTGTTAACAGCAGGTAAAAACTTATTGATATTATCAGACTTGTTGCAAGGTTGTTCCAACAAGTCCGATACAGTCATGATATAACAATACTGTTACAACCTTGTGACATTCTTGTTACATCATGACTGCATCAGACTGGTTAGAACAACGTTGTTACAAGTTGTTAACAGCTTCTAAAAACCTTATTGATATTATCAGATTTGTTGCAAGGTTGTTTCAACAAGTTCAATACAGTCATGATATAACAATATTGTTACAACCTTGTGACATTCTTGTTATGTCATGACTGCATCAGGCTTGTTAGAATTATCTTGTAGCAAGTCTGCAATGATAATGCCAATCACGCTTGTTTCAAGTTGTTACAAGATTGTTCTAACAAGTCTGATGCAGTCAAGATATAACAAGAATGTTACAAGGTTGACGACACAAGGTTGTAACAATATTGTTATATCGTGACTGTATCGGACTTGTTGGAACAACCTTGCAACAAGTGTGATAATCAGCAAGGTCGTTACAATTGTTAACAAGTTGTTCCATACTTGTTGACAACTTGGGACAAGCAGTGCGAACACAACTTGTTGACGGCTTGTTGGTAGCAAATCCCTCAAAACTTAACTACCAATTTTTGGTTGTTCAAGAATCAAATAGGCTGTATCATCCTATTTTGAAACCATGACAAAAAACAATTAACAATATAAGTCACGTATTTTCTCCGAGTTCCTTGCATACTTGCGCTGGCGAAGATCCGATTTATGCCAAATGAAAAAGCACGATGTTTTCACAAAACAAAATAATGAAATCTTTGTTGCTTCACAAAAGAATTCCATGCATTTAATTAAGATGACATGTAGGGTTGCCCCTTAACTGAAGTGGTCACAATTGTCCTTATAACATACCGAGTGTCAAAGAAGATGTTTCCTTGCATTGAACGAGAGGGTATCACGTGAAAGCCATACACGAATGTCTCCTCGCGACGGATCTCAGCGGTGAATAATATGTTATCTACCTGTAAATAATACAATCGTTTAGTTATGGAACAAAAACTATGGAGCTTTGTCTTTGTTTTCGTTTTTTTTGTTTCTTTGACACTTGCTGTATGATAAAACACTTGTTGACTATGACCTTTGGAAAATAGTAGCGACCTAAGCAGGGGCGTAGGAAGCATGGGGGGGCACTGAATTCGAGGGGCACTTTTGGTGTGAAAAGGGCACCTAAAAATTTTTTCCCGGAAATGTTGGCAACGGGGGAAGGGAAGGAAAAATAAATGCAATCATAATTAATCAAAGGTCGTTCAGGCCGACTCACGGATGAGATCAAATGAAGGTGTCCAAAAGAATTAATGCAGTTTGCAGTTGTTTTTGCAAACGAGCACCGTGTAAATTTTGCCATTTGTCGTGCTCCAGCCCGATTTCCGGTTCAGAAAGGCCCAATTCTCAGGCAAAGCGTGTGCGCCAAGCAGGCTGGTCACTTCTCATTGTTTAGCTGCCCCACATCCAAGTAACCACAAAGACTAAAAATTGTAGTCAAAAATGCAATCTGAACAACATTTTTCACGAACGCAGAGGGCACTTTGCCACCGGAAAAAAGGGCACTTTTTGTGTCTTCTGAAAACTTGGGGGGCCTTGGCCCCCTTGTCACCCCCCGGTTCCTACGCCCCTGACCTTAAGCATGTATGGGGGGGGGGGCGACGGCCACGGCAAACAAACTCGTTAAACCAGATGAATACAGAAGATCTTGTCTTATATTATCCATCGTATGAAAAATAATACAGCTTATACAATGATTGAGGTTAACAGGTTTAATGATTGAGAACATTCCAGGACCCAATTTAAAATAGCAGTTGTCTCAGCTTCAAATGTAAGCGCTGTATACAAGACGTGATAATCTGTATTTTGCCGGTCGTAACCAGAGCGACGGCAACGTCTAAAACGTCCGTGGGATTTTAATTGTTCATTTCTGCTCATTTTCTTGTATTAATATATTATAAGCAGTAGATTTCTGGAAAAATATTTCAGAGTTTATAATTACAAGATCTTCTTTTGAAGTTTTACACTAACCCAAGCCATTAATTCAAATTATAAAGATCTTCTACACGCGTAAAAATCTCATACCTTAATTGTTGCAAGTCTGTCAACAAGTTGTGTTCGCACTGCTTGTCCCAAGTTGTCAATAAATATGGAACTAGCTGAAAACAACTTGTAACAACCTTGTTGATATTATCAGACTTGTTGCAAGGTTGTTCCAACAAGTCCGATACAGTCATGCCATATAACAATACTCATTGTTATAAAACTCATTAATAATTCATGAAGAAAATTCAAAAGAAATGAATGTTTAAACAATGTTTGTAAATCGCATAAAGATTTGTCCTGATTTACATAAACTTCAGCTTTGATTTTCTCGGCTTAGACAATGTTTACTTTTAAAATTACTTCGCATCAGATGGGTCGTTTTATAAGCACGTATAAGCTTGTTGCAAGGTTGTTCCAACAAGTCCGATACAGTCATGATATAAAAATAATGTTACAACCGTGTGTCGTCAATCATGTTAGAACAACCTTGTAACAAGTCTGATAATGCCATCAAGCTTGTTGCAAGTTGTTAACAGCTTGTTACAACAACTGTGATTAACAAGCATGCAGTGAGAACACACATTGTCGAAAGCCTGTGAACAGACTTGTAACAACTTGTTGCAGCACGCTAAAAGCATCTATCACTTATTTTAGATTATCAAAATCTTTTATACGATCAGAGTTAGCAGAACTGAAACGATAGCAGGGGGGGGGGGGCTTAAAAGAGGGCACGGGCTCACAATGCGTGGAGGATGCACCATGACAAATATGGAAAGTTCCCAATATTTATTTTGGTTCTAGCAATTCTTCAAATAGAATTTGTATTGTCCACTTCAGGCAAGAGCGCCATTCCCAAGTTTGTTGTGAATATTCCAAGTACGTTTAATTTCTAAATTTAGGATATTGGACGAGGAACTTGCAAAGCCAACTTGGCAAGTTGCTTATCAAAATATCGAAGTGCTGAGCATAAGCTCGTAATTTGAAGTGTATCGCTAATATAGCCAACGAATTAAACGTATTTCTTAAAAACTTCAATAACAAAATTCGTCAAATATGCATGATGGCTATATTAGTAAAACACTGCAAATTCCGAGTTTATGTTCAGTATACTCTTCGATATTTTAGCAAGCAACTTGCAAAGTTGCCTTTGCAATGGACCATTTGCATTATAGTCAAAATTTTTATATAAACACGCCTAGACAAAAATTTCATCACAGCTTGAAAGAGCATCACAAAATTAGTAATATTCCAAAGTTTCGTTGCGAAATGTTTTAAAATGCGGATAATATAGCCTTGCGAAGTTTTCCGTTTTTCAGTCATTTTGTATTACAAACGGGAAATTCACAGCCCCAAAGGGTATTGGGCTTTATTGGGCTGTCAATTTCCCCCGCGTAATGCAAAATGACTGAAAAACGGCAAACTTCGCAAAGCTATATAAGTTATCCGCATTTTACAACATTTCGCAACGAAACTTTGGAATATTACTAATTTTGTGATGCTCTTTCAAGCTGTGATGAAATTTTTGTCTAGACTTGTTTAGATCAAAATTTAGTCTATAATGCAAATGTTCCATTTCCATGCCCAATATTCGATTCAAATTTAGAAACGGAATTGGGAATATATTCACTAGAAATTTGAGACCGCACTTTGAGCCCCCTAGCCTCTGGAGTTCAGATATACGGGTTAGATAAGAGTTATATAGGTGCAAATTTGATCGGTACGCCCTAAAAGCAGCCCGGTTAAAAATTTCCCGGTTAATCTAAAATTAACACTGTTTGGGGTAACTTATATAAGTTATAATAATGACTAATTTAACCACGCTATATATTATATGTTCAATTTATGCAACGCATTAAATTGCGGTTAATGAAGTAATATGTGAACATGTCCAAGAAGACTCAATCTGTCATCAAAACTATATTGCACCTTGATCCTGCTGCCAAATAACATGCGATCAGGCCTATAAATAAATAAATAGAGCTAGCTGATACTCAAGTTAGCCGTGCCAAAAAGAGATTGAACCTTGGCAACACAGCACGTGAACAACTGTGATGCAAACTTGGGTTTAGCCAATAAGCTCTCCCATAAATACATCAGTCGCAACAATACAATGACCCCATTCGTATTGAAAGACATTTAGTCAGATTGGAAAAAATTTTGAAAATCCATAGAAGGTCATAGAATGGAAATTGTATGGACCTTTATTGGAAATAGAATGGTCTTTGCTTATCCATAATAATTGTATATTTCCATATAGTATGGATATAGTATGGAAATAGGATGGATATATTATGGATTTAGTGGTGCAATTGCAAATTTCGTAGTATGGATTTCACTTTTTTCCCCAGTGTTACAAGCCATATGCTTGTCTCATTCACAAGATTTTAACCAGGACGTCGGCTACGAAAATCTGGTATATTATGTCAGGTTGATTATCAACCATGCAGGAACCCTGGTTAAAATATATTAGCCAGGACTGTGATCAATTTTACTAGGACCATGGTTATTTACCACGAAATTTAACCAAGTACAGATA